AGAAAAGAAAAAAAAAAAAAAAAAAACCCAAAACGACGTCGTTTTGGGGGACTGCCGGGTAGGGCGACCGAGGATCCGAATTCCGAGATATAGTGGCGTATTGACCATGTTTTGCCTGAGAATCTGTTTCATCGCCGAAATCAAATCAACCATTGGATTTGCCAGATCCAGCCGAGGTGAACTTTTTGTAGAAGTTGATGTGCCAAGTTAAAGCTTCTTCGGTACTAATCAGCCTCTCAATTCTCATGATTTCATCTTTCACAATATTTCCCCAACTTTGGTTAAGATCTGGTCACAACAGTGGATCAATCTATTTTATATTTATATATTTTATTTTTTAGGGTTTTTCCTCATGTGTCCTCTTGTGTATATGTTATTAGGGTTTTGAACTTAGTGATTTTGTAGTTGTTGCTTCTTACTGGTTTAAATTTGTGTATTTAGGGTTTTGAATATTTTTATTTTTATTTATTTATTTATTTATTTTTGGAGCTCAAATCTGTGTTCAAGGCTCACATCTGGAAAATCTTCATCATCATAATCATCTCCTTCCAATCTATTCCAATAGAGTTTGGAGTTTTGCAAAAATTAGGACAATAATTTTAATAAATAGCATTTCACACAGATAGACCTTAAATAGATATAATCAAATTTTCAACAAATAGAATTCGACAAATAGAATTCAGGGAAAAATTGAATAGATAATAAAATGAGTATGTGAACAGATAAGTCAAAAATGAGAATTCCAATAGAGAGAGGTGTAAAAATTCAACAGATCAAGTAGTAAATTTCAATAGTTAATTTTATTTTAGACAAATAAGGGGAAAAAAATTTGAATAGAAACATATAAATTTGAACAGTCAACAAATAAATTAAGCGGTAAAATTAAAAACAAAATATCCTTTAAAACTAACAAAAAAAACTTCTCACCCTCTCAACAACAAAAAAAAATCTATTGAATCTAATACTTGACCTTTTTTAATTTGTACTTCTTGACAATTTTTCTCAAAAAATTATAACTGTTGATGCGTTAATCTATGTCTAAAAGGCCACTGGGCCGTAGTTCTCCCTCTGATTAATCAAACTTGCACTTTCTTGGGTCTAGCTAGTTCCTAACAAGCAAATGAGTCCATAAGATTATGACAATAATGGTGACACTGTTTGTAACCATGACAAAACTTTATGTAAATAATTAATAATAATAATAAATAAATAAATAAATAATTTGTCATACAACAAACATGATAACGTTGTCAATAAATGGGGCTCCTATGCCAATGTTGTTCCCCGTAAACCAACAACATATTATCATCATGAGATTATGGTAGAAATACTAAATTTTCTATCAAATAAATAATCAAATGCCTCACATGAGTGTGGAGTACACGCTTGTATGAATCCTATACTCATATAAGACATTTGATCATCATTTATTAAAAAAATTGAAACTTATAACATTTCTATCATCATGCCATAAAGGCCAACCCACTAATGTTGCGAACCACACCACATAAATTTTTGTGGCTTTTTTAATACTGAATTTGAATCAATAGTAAACCCACATGTCCTAATTGAAATAATTCAATACAATAGTAGTGTTAGAGTAGTTATTGGGTATTCTGAAACTATAATCACGTGGTACTTGTGTTATGATTGGTAAAAAAATATATGACTCATAATTTTATATCAGGTGATTGAGAAACATGAGAAGATATAATATATTATGATTAATCAAGAAATATAAACATGTGACACTCGAAAAATATTGAATAATTTTTCCTAGTAATAAACTTGAGACAAGTCTAGCTTTTTAGATAATACTCTTTTTCTTTTTCTTTTTTTATCAGCAAAAAGGAAACTTTATTGATGAAGAAAGCAAGATACATGCAAAAACTTACATCAACAAAGAAAGGAAGTGCAAAAGCATCAAAATTAGCCTTACCAATCCCAACTAAGTTGGTATCGATAAGGTAGCATAATCCTTTGCTAGCACTTAACCCATGATTGGTGAGGAACCAATCAAAAGAACCAAAAAAAGAAAGGAAAAAACAACAGAGAACCAGCAACAATTAGAGCAACACACTTAGCAACCTAAACAGCCCCTACCCAACAACATTACAACAATAGGCCAAAGGCAGACTTGCTTACTGAGGCCTTGTATGAGCAACATACCACCAGCATCCAGCAGCATTAGCATTAGCATCCAGCTGTACAGAGCAGACCAACTACCAGCAACATTAGCAATACCACTGCCCTCCTAACATCTGCACAGAGCAGACCAGCTTCCTACATCAGCTGACCTCTAAACTACGGCATACAGCCTATCTATTTGCAACCTCCACTCATCCTCATACACTAACTGACCTTCAATGCTATGCAACAGACTAGCAGTCAACCAGTAGCATACTCCAGTAGGCTCAAATAGCATAACAAACCATTGGAAGCATAGCATCAGGACTCTGCAAATTGGAGCAATCTTCCAGACCAAAATCAGCCACAGCAATAGCTCGATCATCCAACAATGAACATACCCACAGCAGCAACTCCATCTTCATCAGCAGCTCAGAACCACTGTTATCAAACCAAGACTCCGCAACCAATAAATAGAACAAAAAAAACCCCAACAGTAACTCTGCAGCAACAAAAAATAGCAGCATCTAGCATCTGCCTAATACCAACACCCATTAGTAGCAAGCAACATCAGCAACTAGGTTCACTCCAATCCAACATCAGACCTATCAGCAACGGCACTAAAGATTGATGTTTGAGCAATAACCAGCCATCCTCAAACAGCCATCCTCAGCAGAGACACTTCCTAACTTGCTGCAAATTGGTCATCAACTCATGCACTGAATAGAAACAACCTCTAGACATAGCTTTAAACCATAATACAACTCTCGTCTTTATCAGTTCTGTTAGCTCGTCCAACATAGGCTGTTTTCTATTAAAAACACACTCATTCTGCATCTTCCAAATTGACCAGAAAATTTGCTAATGGGATAGCTGTTAAAATCCACCCACTACACCACTACCACCTCACCTACTCCACTAAACCTAACCCACTACACCACTATCACCTCCACTTCACCTACTCCACTAAACCTAACCCACTACACCACTACCACCTCCACTTCACCTACTCTACCTACCACCTACTACCACCTACTCTTCTATATATAGGAATCATTGTAACATATCTAAACATCAATCAATAATACATACAATTTATCTCTATCAATATATTTTACAATAGCCTTCCAAAGATTATCTTCAACCTTCCCCCATTTAAACCCACGCCACCAAACCAGTAAAGCCTCAACATTTTGAGGAGATACCACTACATACCCCACCACTCCAGTAAATTTGACCATAATTGCCAAATAACAGGGCACAATAACATAACATGGTTTATAGTTTCTACTTCCCCAGTACAAAAACACACTCAAATCTAGCATTGTCATTGAAGATCCCCAATCTTTGTAGATATGCTCTAAATTTAATTCTAGCTTTCCAAACAAGCCAACAAAAAAATTTTACTTTAAGGAGAGAGATATTCTTCCAAATGAACCCAGAAACATCAAAATCCTGCCCAGATGTAACCCTGTTGTATGCTACAGCAACGTTAAACATACCAGATTGTGAAGCCTTCCAAACCAAAGTATCTCCTTTGTCTACCAAAATCGGGGGACTGCTATTCAAGAGCTTAATGAGTCTATCTACTTCTAATTCCTCCCATGCCCGCAGTCTTCTCCTAAACCTCAGATCCCATCTTGACGTAGTCATTTTCCTTTCAACCATATGATCCAGAGAGACCTCTTTCTCCATTGACAACTCAAAAATTCTGGGAAACTCCTCCTTAAAACATTTTTTACTAATCCAATGGTCCTTCCAGAATTGGATTCTATTGCCATTTCCCACTTCAACAACACAGTTACCCACATAAAAACTGAACAACTGAGGGTTACTATCAGCCGTATTAAGAATATCACCCCAAAGTTTCGATCTCTACTCTCTTGCCGTAGCAAAAGGTAACCATCGACCACCTGTGCTGCCATATTTGCTAATTACAACTGATTTCCACAACACCCGGTCTTTACACCCATACCTCTACCACCATTTAACCAACAAGAAATCATTAACCATCCTCATCTTCCTAATTCCCAAATCTTCATTGCCTTTGCTCTTTGTAACCTCCTCTCAATTTACCAAATGCAGCTTCTTTTTAACCTCTGATCCTCCCCACAAAAATCTAGCTTGGATCCTGTCTAGAGTTCTTGCTACACTCACAGGCATTTTAAAGACTGATAGGTAATAGATAGGTAGAGATGACAACACTTCCTTCACCAGTGTTAGTCTACCTCCAAAAGATAAAAGCTTCATTTTCCTAGAGGCTAGTTTTGCCTTGAATTTGTTGATCACAGGCTTCCAGGTACTTTTCCTCCTTGGACTTGCACCAAGAGGTAACCCAAGATACATAAAACGTAGCTTATGGCACATGCAATTCAATTGTTTCGCATACAGTTCCCCTTCATCTTCTGGGACCCCTACCCCGCAAACATGACTTTTATGGAAGTTAATCTTCAACCCAGATATCACCTCAAAACACCTTAGTATTCTTTTTATATTTTGCACTTCTATCCCATATGCTTCACAGAATACTATTGTGCCATCTTCAAATTGTAGGTGACTAATATTAACTTCCCTATGACCAATTACCGCACCTTTTATGAACCCCAATGATTTAGCCATTTGAAACAGCATATTCAAACCTTCAGCCACAATGATGAAGAGAAAAGGTGACAATAGATCCCCTAGTCCAAGGCCCTTTTCCGGGCAAAACTCCGCAATGGGAAACCCATTAACGAAAACTGAAACCCTGGCTAAAGATAAACATTCCTTCATCCAGCTAACCCACTTATCTTGGAAACCAAACTTCGATAGTAAATCCAAAAGGCACTCCCAGTTTATCGTATCATAAGCCTTTTCAAAATCCAATTTAAGAATCAACCCCCTCTTTTTCTTTTCTTCCACCAATCAATAATCTCATTAGAGATCAACACCCCATCCAAAATATTCTTTCCACCCATGAATGCCGACTGAGCTTCACCAACAATTCTAGGTAAAATGTTCTTGAGTCTATTAGCAAGTACTTTAGATAAAATCTTATACAGAGGCCCAATGAGACTAATAGGCCTATAATCTGCAATTCCACACAGGTTTTCTTTCTTAGGAATTAATGTTATGAATGAGCTATTAGCGCCTTTGGCCAACCTTCCATTAGTATAAAACTCCCTAAAAAGAATTAAGGATATCTCCCTTAAACACTTTCCAACATTGCTGGAAACACAACATGTTAAAACCGTTAGGCCCCGGGACTTTATTACCATCACTTTCTTTCACTGCCCTCCATATTTCCCCCTCTGAAAAAGGTGTTATCAATCTAGTAAAATCTTGATCTGAACCAAGCTGCTTAAAATTACCAAACAATTTGGGTCAAGATTTCCACCCTTCAGTGAATCTCCTTTGAAAATAGTTAAACACCTCAAGCTTTACCCTTGGTGGCTCTACATGGATCACCCCATTCACTTCAAAAGAGTTCAACATATTTCTATTTTGGCGACTAGTGGCAACCACGTGGAAAAATCTTGTATTTTTATCTCCCTTCATGTGCCAATTCATTCTTGATTTTTGCAGCCATAGCCATTCCTCTCTCCTACTAAGAGACCAAACCTCATTTCTGACTTCCCTTCTTCTCCTGCTCTCCTCCTCATTAAGATTTCTCAATTCTACCACTAAATCAATACCATGTAGTTCCTTTACAACAACCTGTAAAGCCATAGTAACATTCCCAAAGACATCACTATTCCACTTTTTAAAGGCGAACCGCAGACTTTTGAGTTTTTTCATTATCACATATCCAGCCCAACCTGATATATCTGAATCATTCCAAGATTTCTTTACAAACTCTTGGAATTGGGGATGTAAGGACCATGCATTTATGAACCTAAACGGCCTAAGACCCCAGTCCCTGCCATCCTCCATAAGCTTCGGAGGGTAATTGTCTGATAATGATCGCTCCAAACCCCACAATTTGAAATTAAATCTCTCCACCCACTTAGAGGACATCAGTACCCTATCAATCCTACTCCACCTTCTACCATCATTGGAATTGCACCAAGCAAATTGTCTCCCCATCATAGGAGGATCTGTGAGTTCCAAATTTTCAATAAACTGATTAAAGTCCCTCATTCCTTTATCTTTTCGAGAACAGCCTCTTCTTTCCCCAAGGGGTCTTATTTCATTGAAATCTCCCACAAGACACCACGGCTTATCAAAATTAGCCCTCAAATGTGCCAGACTAACCCATAATCGACTCCTCTGAGATACATCATTAGGTGCATAAATTGTAACAAGAACACACTCAAAATTGGATAAAATAGTACCTGAGAGAAGGATGCAATTCCTCAAACAACATCACTGAGATAAGCTAAATACATTAGTTTTCCAAATACACAATAATCCACCAGCTGTACCCTCAAAGACGACATCCATAAAATCCATATCTACGTCATGCCAGAGTGACTTCACAAACGTTATGGAAATACTTGTTTGTTTTGTTTCTTGGAGAAAGACCATATCAGCACCTTTTTACTTGAGTAGTAATTTGATCTGCCTCATTTTTTTCTGATCTGCCCAAACCCCTAACATTCCAAGAAACTAGCTTCATTGGGAAACTACATATAACCTCTACAGCCACCTGGCTTGTGTCTTCAATCCTATACCACGGCCTAACTGTGAACCTCGACGGTCCTCTATGCAACTTGTTCTTTATCAACGATTTCCATGGATACTAATCTTTTAATCACTTCCTCCTCCTTCCCTTCAAAGCAAATTCCAAGGGCTTTGCCCAGCAGCACTGTTGCTTCTGCTTCCTCTTGGGCCGATTTCCCATTACATTTACCCTTACCACTCGAAGTTGATCTTGTAGAGGTTCCAGCTATGGCTCTGAACACCGCCCTTCTACTCCAACTACCCATCACCACTGGCCCACCTTGTCTAATGCGTCTTCCTCTTTTATCTTTCCTTTGTTGATCAACCAACCTACTTTTTGATGATGAGCCCCCTTTTCGTATGCTACCAGAAATGTTCTGTAATCTCTTCCCCTTTTCACCGTTTTGTTTTCGAAGTTTAAATGTGGGCTGAATAGCTGATGACCCACAGCCCATATTACTTAGAGATACTGTTCTACAGCCTTGGATTTGTGGATCATCATTATTGAGGCCCAACCCCACCTGGCCCATAGCATTACCATATGGCCTGATTAACTCCCTATCCATTTGGACTCCACTTAAAACAACTGCCAAATTTATTCCTTAGTTCTGAAGCCCATCTGCACTTAAACTCTCCATGAGACCATTGGCACCCTCAGTATCTCCCACCAACTCACCTTTTTCATTAATGGGTAGGTGATCCTTCAAGATCTCTAATGTATTGACATTGCATGCGTGAACTGCATTTTGTCTTCCCAATCCCACCTGACCCGTCTCCTCGACTACCGAAACAGAACAATCTTGTAAATGAGAGATACTACTATCAGTCCTGTCGGCTACCAGCTGAACAGGTTGGGTGTTTGCCACCTCATCCTCAATAGCCACCTTAGCCTCAATAGCCACCTCCTTTTGTGCAACGACAGCCATCTTAGCCTTATCTTTCCCTGAGTAACCACCATAGCTGCTACACTGGTTCACCATTCCATTATTACTCCATTGGTCAACCTTTATCTGGTATGAGGCACAATTATATGCATCGCCAATGGTTGTGGTAACCATAACTTGTTCTTCACACACTCTAACTGGATAAAGTAAATCTCTACACTTAATATGAACCACAAAGTTAATGGATGCCATCATCTTTGTTGTAATTCTGATTCTCCTACACCTGAAGAACAGTGATCTAGTTGTTTCCTCATCCATGCTTATTACCTCTCTCCACAATTGACCAATCTTGGTGAATGTATCTATATTCCATAAGTTTAGAGGCACACCATAGCAACTTAGCGACACTGTCCTTTCTTGATCAAGATGAAGTCCATTCTCTCAATCTGACACTGATTTGCACCATTCATTGAGACACTCGTTCAAACTTGCCATTTGGGACAATTTTTCCTCCTTTGATCTAAATGTCACCATAGCCATCTTAGCACCCCTTTCCCTTACCATAATTTCCTTAGAGCCCTTCTCATGAATACTCCTCTGAAATTCCGAAAAAAACAAAGTAACTTTTAAGTCTGATAATAATACTTTCGTACAACCATCCATTCCCTGCTTCAACACCCACTATAACTGGTCCTTCATATCCTATCCTGCTCCCCTGAAGCACCACTTCTGCAAAAGATGGAGGTCCAAGCCTCCCTTTAGTTGTTACTCCTTCATTTCTTCCCCTGCCCTCCTGTACTCTGACTCCAACCTTATCGACCTTCATTGAATAACTGCTATCCGTAAACTTCCTCTATGATTTCTCAAACTCTGCTTTCTTGACCTGTAGTGCTTTATCATCACACCACAAACCATCGGCTTTTTGCACCGCTACATTTTCAGCAACTGGGCAATCATACCTAACAAACCCGAACCTTGATCTAGTTAGCTTCCTCATTTTGTTTGGGATGTACACATCTTTGACCACCCCAAACTTCATGAAGAGTGAGAACAACCCCTTTGGGTCCATGGACCAGGATAAGTCGTCCACAAAGATGGTGAATACCCCAGCCCCACTTCCTCGATTGCCTTATTTTATGCTTAGATTCCTTCTTTTATACACCACCAATTGCCATCCTCCTTCTGCACCACCATCTCGCCGTTGCTTTTCCTCTCGACGTTGCCATCCTCCTCTCGAAAATGTTATTGTTCTTCAACTCTAAATGTCGCCACATTGGCATGCTTCACTTTTGATCCAATTATAATACTCTAACAATCATCATGTCAAAACTTTACGTGAAAAGATACAGATCTAGAAAAAAAATTTAAAAAATAAAAAATAAATAAATTTATCAAAAATGGTTCCTATCAACAATTCAAATAATTTAAATTTAGAATAATTTTTGAATATATATATATATATTTGAATTTATAGTGTTGCTAAACTTTATACAGATAAGGTTGATAACAATTCTAAGTTGATCAACGCATGGTTTGTCATCGTTGTGGATTAACAAAACAGTGAATTTGGTGCTCGTCCAACTCAGGAAATTACATAATTGACCATTTATGAGAGAGACTAGCTTTCATTAGCTTTCTCAATGTAGATTAAGTAAAATAAGGGCGAGGTAAGTCTATGGAAGTTGACAACGTCATAAAATTCTCAAACCAATTCCCACAACTTTTACTTGATTTTCATTTTGACTTTTTAAAAACAGTTTTTGAATTTTTTGTTACTAGTGAAATTTTTTAAAAAATATTTTTATCAATTTTTTTTACTTTGTAGATTTACCTCAAAAGTAACACATTTATGAATAAATATCATTAAAAAAATACAAAAAAGAATATGAAAATTTATTAAACTTTTTGTATTTAGTGTTTTTTAATGTTTTTTTCACAAATATTTTACTTTTAAATATATCTAAATTAAGTGAATTTAACAAATAAATAATTTGCTTAAAATATAAAAAAAAAAAAGTTCGCTGAAAAGAAAAAAAAACTCATTTTTTAAATAAAAAAAAAACTCAAAACCAAATAGAATGGTAAATACCAAGTAAAATCTTTGAGAAGCTATTTTTTATAGGCCTATAACTTAAAAATCCCTCAAATAAGTTCTATTATGTGAAAAGTCTAAGCTAAAAAATTTTAGTGTCTAAGATTCTGACTTTGTAATTAATCTCTTACTGATTGATCCTAAAAAAAAAAAAAAACAGAGAGAAGTTTCATGACTATATTTTTCATCGTAAAAGTGAAAAGTTGAACATTTTTGCCCCTAAGCCATTATCTTTGTAGCATCTCTCCATCTCTCTCATAAATCAATTTAAATATTGAGGTTGGTATCTCAAACAAAGAAGTTTTTTCAATTTTTTAATTCAGGTAATAAAATTTTATTTTTTAGTTGTTCAATAGCAAATATTAAAATTTTATTGTTTAAGCTAAGGTTAACAATGAAATTACTCTGTTAAAGTCACCATTTCAATGTTTTGATAAATTTTCCGTTTAGTATTTTTAGTAATAATGGTAACAATCATAATAAATATGGTGATTAGTGATGGTAATGGTAGAATTTTACTGTCTAAATGCTAAATTCATATAGTAAATTTTTACTGTCTAAGTTGATAGAGTAAAATTTTATTGTCTTAACATTAGTTTGGATTTTTTTATAAATTTTTGTGGTTTGCTAGGTAGTAATGGTGTGGCAGTAGTCATGGTGGTTGTAGTGTAATGATGGGGAGACAAAGTGGCAGTCGAAGTAAATCGCCAACATAGATGAGTGTCCAAACAAGGGTGGGAAAAGTCATCAAAAAATGGTTCCTAGAAATTCTTGCCAGAAAATTATCATCGAAGAGTTGCAAGTGGCCAACAATCGTTGCCCAAAAATTTTCATCGGTGACCAAAGGGCCTGAGATGGTGGGGAAGGAGGCTAGTGAAATTTCACTAAGCCACTGGTATGTTTTTTTGCCAATGCCCTTGAACAATGAAAACTTTTAGCATTACCCTTGCAGCAAAATTTGAAAATGAAGGAGCTCTCACCAAATCACCCCTTTTTTATACTAAACTCGGTGGTGCATTGTATTGTTTTTGCTTTGTCTTTGCTAATTATTTTTTAAAATTCTACTTTGCCATCATAATTTGTTCCTTACTATTACTGTTTTAAGTCACACATTATGTGGTCTCATTTTCTTATTTCCTCTTAATAAATCACCAAAACTAGTGGATCGTCTACACAGTCACAGATAATGTGATGCATGGACCCAAATTAATGTCTTTAGTCTAATAATGATATCATAGAGGCATAAAAACTACTGTGAAATAGATGCCAACTTCGAATTTCATTACTTATCAAAACTAAACAATAAATAAAATAAAAATAAAAATAACAGAAAAAACGATCCCGAAATTACATTTGCTAAAGGGTCTAAAAGTTTTGTAGGGAGATAATGCTTTTATTGTTTCTTGCAACATTTGCGGTGGAGATGCATTGGTGTTTCCCTTCAGAGTGCGGCAAGTACTTGAAGCACTTTCTCCTCATTAATCAATATTATTGTCTTGTAAAAAATCAAGATTTTTATTGTTATTATATTTAAAACTCTAGTTCGATTTTGGACATTAAAAGAGGCACAAAATTGCGTTAAATGAGGGTCCTAGACATGTGATAATTTGGTATATGACTGCGACAAAGTAATCTATTACATGACGAGTCAGATCATGCGCTGACTTAACAACAGACCTACTAACTTTAGATGCACTGAGAAAATTAAAAAACCTACTGCTAACCCGTATGTCCTCAACAACAGTTGCTGAAGACCAAAAAGGTTTGGATTTATTACTAAGTGCACAATCAAAACCTGAAAATCAGTGCAGATT